AAAAAAAAAAAAAAAAAAAAAAAAAAAAAAAAAAAAAAGATTTGTTATTTGCAGACCCTGAGCAACTGCAGATGGAAGTAAGTGGAGGACTAGGAGCAGAAAAGGACATCTGGAACCTTCCCTGAGTCGCCAGGGTGAGGTCGGGTGACTGGATTGAGTGCTGAAAGAGATAAGTCGAAGGAAATTAAGTCAAGAGTTCCCCTCCGTTTGGGGAGAGGTGCTGGGGTATTGATTTCGACGGCCATTTAAAAGAAGGTAAAATGCCCTCTCCCAACACACACTTGCTATTGTTTCCTAAATTAAACTGCAACAAATAAGCAGCTACAGCCTTCCAGGATGAACAGAAACTTAAGAATTAATAATAATAATAAAAAGCAAAACTTTAAAACAATGAATGTGATCAGCCCTCACAAAAACCATAGAATCTGGGTTTCTCCTGAGATTTTCAACACATAGCACTTTAATAAGGGACTTATCACCCTCCCCCAAAATGTAGCTGTGAAATTCTTCCCCAAAGGTGACACAATTAATTGCACTTGCAGTTAACACAATTAAACCGTAGCTGAAAGACTGGCTGACACCTCATAAATCTCAGACGTACAGAGGGATAATCAAATTGATCAATCATTGACTAGAACCACCTGAGAAAGTCCATAAAAGCCCAGGGTCGTGGGAAAGGATGAGTGATTCCTGACCAAGTTTTCCATTTAGATGCCACAAGTGTTTAAAATCCTCTTCAATTTTGCACTTAATTTTATTGCCATGAATACGTAGGATTGGGTAAGAAAATAAGACTTGAAAAAGGAATCCCACAATACAGGTGCCTACAGGGAACTGCAGATTCTGTAATATTGTCAGTCTCCAATAGGTTACTTAGCATCCCTGTGAATTAGATTCCTTGTACGTAAAAGGTAGATTGCTGTAAAATTAGACTGTTGTTTTGAGCATGGCAGAAAAATACAGGAAGGTGTCCATTGGTCGATGCCCTAGGAATAAAGGACCAAGGAAAGTGTGTTTGCTAATAGAGACACAAACCATATTCAAGAGCTCAAGGGAGCAGTCAAGTCACCAGCCTGCTTTCAGTTCACACTTGAATGTGGGGCTCTTTGTGAACAAAGAGGAGCCATGGACAGACTGAGTGTGGTGGGAGTAAGAACATCAACGTCTATGACAGGAGTCTCATCCATCGGAGATAAGAGAGTGCAGTGAAAGCAGAGAGGTGTAGATGTTGTCTGGATCGTGGTTGTCTAGATGTAAAGACTGTGACAAGCATAGTACACTTTCAGTGTGATTACCCAAGAGCCAAAGGACAGGAGCAAGCAAAATCTAAACTGACATTTAAAGCCTGGGGAGGCTCAGAAGGTGCCTGCCTTTGGTCATTTACTCCTCTGCCTACTCAATGATTGTGTATTGTCCCCCGCGCACTGTGCTACAGACTCTAAACAGAGACCTGGCATTCTATACCGCTTAATGTGAATATAAACAGCATGGCATGGTGAGTCTTTAGGACTTGTATACCCCAGTACACAAAACACCCACTAGCACGGCAGCGAAGAACTCAGTAAAATAAGAAAGATGTTACAACTTGAATGAGAAATGCCTCCTTGTGACTCACATTTTGAGTGTTCAGCCCCAGCTGGTGGCATATCCTGGGAGACTCTGAAGCCTTAAAGAGACAGAACCTGTTTGGAGGAAGTGTGTAGCTATAGGAGAGGCTGTAAGCCCAAATCTGGTTTAGCTCTCTATGCATCTAATCCACCACAAAGTGGACATGCATTTGCCATACAATTCTGCTGCTGTGACTTCTGCCATATTTCTCCTACTGGGATAGAATGGAGCTCATGCAAACTTGAGCTGAAATAAATCTCTTTGGAAAGACACAAAAAAATAGCACTAACGTAGATATAAAAGTTTCCTTTGAAGAAATAAAACAGCATCTAGAAAGAAACAAAAAGACAGCATGAACATGAACCGAAGTTTGTGTAGAGGCATGAATTTGAATGCCCCTTGTGGGAAATGGATAATTTTGTAATTCTTTAATTTCATGTTGTAACATCAGAAAAAAATGAAGCTGGAGAGATGATCCAATCAACATTATTCAGCATCATAACAAGGAATTACAATTTTATTCTATGGGTCATAAGGAATCCAATAGTCTTCAGTAATCTTAAGAACACCAACCTTATTAACATACTATATCTAGAGATATATACATATATAACATATGCCAATACCCACAGATACAAGTAAAGATTTAGACAGATAAGGAGGGAGGAAAAGATGAATGGAAGAAGGGGAGGAGAGAGAGAGAGAGAGAGAGAGAGAGAGAGAGAGAGAGAGAGAGAGATTTAATTCATGTATGCTGAATTGGAAGGACACCGTCATAGAAATGTCCAACACATAGTTATAGAAATACTTCTAATTTTGAGGAAGTGATCATGTAGAGAAATGAATTTTGAAGTTACTGTGTAATTGTAACTCGCAAAGCTTCAATTGTCCATGGCTTCCTAAAGAAAGTACAATGAGATAAAAAGGTACTGAGTCAAGTATCCTCACCTCAGACTGAAGAAAACAAGTCAGGCCAGGACCATCACTTTGCAGTGTTATTGTCAGTATTCCTGTTACCATCTCTCTGTAGTGTTGTTAGGGAGGCCTAGTAAGAAGAATGAGCAGAATTCAGTTAGTCACAGGCAAACAACAGGGCTGACAGGAACAGCTCCGACAACCTACTAGTAGCAGCAGTCAGACCCAGAGGGGAGGGAGCTGCCAGGAGGGATGAAGGCAGAAGAAGATTCCGCCTTCATTGAGACCCCCAGCATTTACCTGGAAACCCAGGGCTCATCTTCCCATCAGTATAAATGATCTAAGATGAGACATACTTCACTGTGCAGCATGGGGTTCATTTCACAAATACCTTCGACAATCTGCAATGGGCAAGTTTTCACATCAGGGTAAATCTTTGTATGAGTTTGACTTGCCAAGGCCTCTAAGGAGAGGGCAGAGCCAGATGTGGAAGGCAGGGGACAACAGGCCATTCTACTAGGAGGAAATACCAGAGCTTGACCAAGAAGTAGGAATGTGCATGCTATTTGGATGGTCAACTAGAAGTCTAACCTGTCAGGTATAGAACCCGAAATTAGGAGTAAGAGGAAACAAGATGGGATAGGCTGGAATGAACTAAAATATGAAATGCCTTTAAAGCCAGGCAGCCAAATGTGTTTGCCGACTCAGCCTTAATCAGGAGGGACAGACCGGAGCCTTCATTCCACGCACTCTAAGTTGGCTCTTAGCCACCCCTTCTTTCCTTCATTCATCCACCCAGGGATGAGTACAACTTGAGATATGAAAAACTATGAAGCTTAGGGAATCTGAACACCCCCCCCTCACCCTTTCAGAAGAATTGGAGCACCAGTCCAGACAGGCTCTTTGCCACAGGGAGAACTGCAAAGTCTGGGACAAGTCCTAGTCAGTCATGAGAAGAAGTCCCTGTACCTGCACTTCGTCCCAGGAGGGTCCCTGTATCTTTTGATTTACCTAAATCTGCTTTCCCCAAGAACACATTTTCTACCACGATCTACCAAGCCTTGCAGAGCTGCAGAGGGAATGGATGTCCTTCCCGTCCCTTGTCAATACCCCGACCATTGGAAGTCCAAAGTTACTTAGAGATGTATGTCAAAAGAACACATTGCCTGTGCTGGTTAGTTCCCACCGTCGACTTGATAGTACCTGGGTTAACCTGAGAAGAGCGTCTTAGTGAGGAATTACTGAGATTGGGTTGTCGTGTGGGGGGTCATCTATGGGGGAATCCCTTTATTATTAATTGATCTAGGAACACCCAGCCATTGAAGGTGGTGTCATGTCATGGGCTGGGCCCTGGACTGGTTAAGAGAAGAGAAACCTATCTGAGCAATGAGAAAACAAGCAAGCAGAGTCCGTGTTTATTCTCACTTTGCTCTTGACTGCGGATGTGGTGTGACCACCTGCTTGAATTCCTGCAATGACTGCTTCTTGGTGACGAACTGTAACGTGGAATTATAAGCTCAATAAAACCTCTCCTCTCCTATATTTCTTTGTGTCAAGGCATTTGTCACAACAACAGAAATGAAACTAGGACACCACCCTAATCCCATGGAACAAACCCCTAACATTTCTTTATGAAACTGACTTCCAGCACTCTCTCCTACACACATTACATGATGATAAATGTCCTCTTCATCAGCACTGTAGTTCTCTGGCCTCTTCTCCTTGGACCTTGGCCATCCTCCAGGCTGGAGGTTGACGCCTTGTCCTGACTAATTACTATAGCTACTTCCTTGTATCGTCTTTCTCAGCTCCCTGCCCTTCCCTGCCCCTCAATCCTCCCTACCCAGGAACTTGGGTGCAGGGATTCTTCTCACTCTCCTTGGTCCCTTCTGTCCCAGCATGGGTTTCCCAGGCTCTAGCATATTTGCTCAGCATCTTGTCCCTGTACCAGTGATTGCACTCATCTCGAGAAAGCTAGCCTCCACTAAACTCAATACAGTTCCTGCACCCAAGCAGTCAATGATGGCTAGAGAAAAACACACCACAGAGGTGGACGCCACTTGAAATACAAGGCAGCCATTCTGGAGGAAAGAAAGCCTCTGACAAAAGCACTTCTCCCTGTTGTTTGATTCCCTAGTCTCCCACACAGCCTATCATACCTCCCTCTCTCAAATCCCCAAGCCTCTGCCTCATGACTTTCACACAGTGTTCTTGCAGCCTGTTTCACTGAGAGAGAGGACCAGAATGAGAGCATGTAAATGTCAATTTACTCCACAATCTGCTACCAGGAATAACTTAGTGCTTAACCTACTCTGTGATGTGAGAGCTGGGAAAATATTATCAGTTAATCAAAATGAACAAAATCAGAGAAGCACCCCACCACCCTCTGATGGTGATCACCACATCCAGTCCTCTGCCAGGGCATACACTAAAATGTTCTGCCTCAAGCACAGACAGCAAGATCGGCATGGGGATGCTCCTAGCTGTAATAAGCTAATCTTGGAACAATCTCAGAGGGACTCTAGAGGCTGCAAGACACTTCTTCTGGGAGTCAGGGAGGATGGGGGTCCTGTTCATCAGAGGAAGGACAGATTGAACAGGAAACTGAAGAGAGTATGCTTGGCATTATTCCACTGCCTGAGACCCATTGCTGACAACTAACTATTGATACCATTATTTGAGGTCTATCTAATGATGCTATTTATCATACAGTCATAGTTTTCTTAAGTTGTGCCTAGAAGTTTTAAGGATAGATGTTACACAAGTAGATTAAGCTTGTCACACAGTAGGTTCTTTTCCACCACCTTCTCCTATCATAATTTTCATTTTAGTCAAAATAAGTCAGCTTAGATCACTCTTGTTCTGACTTTCCTGAAAAAAAAATCTCTATCTTTGCTGTTGGTGGGTCCCCATTGACCCTCTCTGCCTTTCTTCCTTTCCTTTGCTACCTTGTCAGGGCCTCTCTGGGAGGGCTCTTGTCTTCCCTTCTGCTCTGGGCTCTAAGATTACTGTTTTCATTTCCCTGACTGCTGGGTGACCTAGATGTGGCCCTCAGGTGAGAAAGCCCCAGAGTGAGAGTGACCAGCAGGGATGCCATTAAAACACAACATCCTGCAGGCAAGTCTTCCTGACTTTCCAGCCCCCAAATATGATCATAACAGCACAGGACTGTAAAGCTGCCTCTCATAGCACACATTATCTGGCTCCATAGCAGGATTCTGACTGTCCTTTAAAAAAAGGACTTTGAGAGAAAGCAGTGGAGGAAGGACTGCGCAAGAAGGGCAGTGTTGTAGAGTGGAAAGATCTTCACCATGAGGCAGCACCCTAGGACTATTCACACCTGAGGAAAGGGTCCTCTGCTTGGTGCACAGTGTCCTCCTTTGTAAACTGTATTGTAGGTCTGCATTGCTTGATTCTATTTTCCAACCTTTGGATGCTGAAGATTTCTATTTGACACCACAGCAAAAAGGAGGAGACGAATACCTGCTCATTCTGTGGCCTGCTGTGTAGGACTCATTTGCTCTTAACCAAGCTGGGTTTGCTTGCTTTGTCTGTTTTTTTTTTCTGTTGCTGTTCTGAAGGTGGAACCCAGACACTCTTGCATGCCAGGCAAACATTCTATCACTAACGTACACTCCAGCCTCCAGGCACAGAATTTGAATCAGGGGCAACTGTATCACCTCAGTTAGCTTTGGATGTCATTGAATCACTCAGATTGATTGTATGATTTACTCGACACATAGTCCCTCAAAAATGTCAGCAAACCTATACTAGTACATAGTAGGCACTTAAACAACTGTCCAGTTAATCAATGTACAAGGTAGATTGGGGAATAGACTCTTTTTCATCATCTGATATTCATCCACACATTATCAAGCAATTATTAGGTGCAATGGCCTAGAGGTGTATCAGAAAACAAGTCAGATGGGGACTCTGACTTGATGGAGTCTATATTCCAATTAGATATTATGTAATACATATTTAAAAACTGTTTTATGGATGGTGATGAACCCTAGAAAAATAAAAGTAAACAAAATATAACTAGGCGGGACAGAAAGCTGTTTCCATGCACTTGATCATGATAGGATCCCTTAGTAAGGAGACAGGTGTGAAAGAAGAGCCAAGATGACAGGTAAAGAAATAGCTGGCCCTACAGTGCAAAGTGAAAGGGGGAGGTAGTAAGAGATGATCCAGCTCAGGATATGTGCTCAGGTTTAGCCCACTCAGGCTTATCTACCCACTGGGACCACTCTTCAAGCGCTGGTAGTGCCCCTCTCCAGTTAGATCTTAACTCCTTTGCAAGCAGGGACGCTAACTCACATTCTCAGGTGACTACTAAACTCTTAGCAAATGTTACTTTCAAAACACCACCTGGTAACATAATGCTTTGTTTCATCCAAGTTAACCACCATCCCTTCAGAATCAAGTTCAGCCCCATCTCAAAATCCAACTCCTGGATCACCAGGTCACTTCCTATGGACAGTTTTCCAATTCCTAAACCCAAGAAGTTTCTGATTTTATTTCCTTGACTGAGGGGCTTAGGGTGTTGGGAAGAATGAGATAGAGTTAAGGAAGGATTTGTTTTCTTTTTCAATAACAAGAAAGACACAGATGTGTTCAAATGATTAGAAAAAAAAAAAGAAGTGCCACTTTGTGGCAAGGAGATGTCACAGGATGAGCAAGTAAAAGAGAAACTAGACTTTGGAGAGACAGAATTGAGTAGAAAGCTGTAAAAGTGAGAGGAAACGCAGGCTGGCATACGTGGGCATAAGTTACACGACAAAGTGCAATTCCGTGACAATTGCTTTTATATGCAGGACAGTGAGGGTAGGGCAGTGGTTTAAGAAGAGAAGAAAATTTGAAGTATTTGCTAGTTAACAGATAATAAACCTAAATGGGGGCTAAAGAGATGGTTTGGTAGTTAGAAGAGCTTGTTGCTCTTCTAGAGGGCCTGCATTTGGTTCCTAACACTCAGACAGAAAGGCTCACAGTGCCTATAACTCCAGATCCAGAAGATCTGAGGTAGTGTTCTGACTTCTGGAGACTGCCATACACACTTGCTATGCACAGAGATATGCACATAAGCAGAGAGAGAGAGAGAGAGAGAGAGAGAGAGAGAGAGAGAGAGAG